CCCCAGCCCTGCCTGTCTCAGCCCCCAGCCCTGCCTGTCTCAGCCCCCAGCCCTGCTGTCTCAGCCCAGCCCCACATGTGCATTAAGCAGCTGTGCCCTGGCAGAGGGGCTGCTCACCCTGCGCTGACACTCGCTCATGCTCAGCACCCCACAAGTGCTCCCTGCTTCACTAAACCTGGAGATTTAATCTTAACCTGCTGAGCTTTCTTAACACCTCAGCCGTTGGTTGGGTGGGGGGCCATGTTTGCAGGCACCCCAGGGGTTCTGGGGACCTGCCCTGACCTCGGGCTCCCTCGTACAAGTGTTCCTGGTGAACTTGACCCTGGCTGGCAGAGTGCAGGGCTGATCAGTGAGCACTCAGCAGAGCCAGGCTGCAATTAGTCGTGACCGCACGCGGGATTTGTTCCCTCGTTATGAAAAGAGCTCCTTAATTACCCGCAGGAAGGTATTTACTGGTGTGTTTACACCAGTGTGACTCCCCTGGTGGAAACTCTTGTTCCGGAAGGGTTGTCCCAAGGTGCATCCTAAGGAGAACGGGAGAGCTGTGCCATGTTGTGGTTGCATCTCCCTGCAGATGCAGACCCCTTTCCCAGGGGTTTGGTGCCAACAGGAGAATCACATTTCATCGGGATGGGTGTGCAGTTTGGGCACTTCCTCTTATAGATGGGCTCGGAGCTCTCAGAAGAAGAAAAGGAGGAAGTTGTGCCTTTCTCCTCCACCCCCCCTGCAGCCGCCAGGAGCTCCTCTGTGCCCTGAGCTTCGTGGTGCTCAAGTTGTGAACATGGTTGGGCGAGAGGGACTTTGGGGGAGGGGGCTGAGGCCTGGCAGCCCCTGCGCCTCCATCTCCCCGACTGCAGCTGCTGTGAGGGGGGATGTAAAACCCAACGGCTCCTGCGGCCGCTGCTCGGCCCCCGTGCAGAGGAAACCGCTGCTAACCAGGGCTGGGGAGAGGCCCTCTCTGTGCCTTGTCCCTGGAGCCACCGAGGGAAACTCTTTTTGAGGGGGAAAAAGGGCTTTTGGAAAGGGGGGGCTGGGATCTTCCTGCTGGGGCTGAGCACTGTGGTGGCTGCAGGGCTGATGGCTGCCATGGTGTGGGATTTGCTGCTCTTTGCTGGGAGCAGGGGTGGGACTATGGGAAATGGGGTGTGTGGGGGGGATGCTGGTCCTGCTGCTTGCCTGCATCTTGGCTCCCTGTCACATCCCATTTGTCCCAGTTGGCTTTTTGTCTCTGCTCTGTCCCCTTGGGGAGAGCCTGTGTTGGCACCACGGGGTGTCTTTGGCCAGGCCATGGTTTGGTGCCTGGTGGTGCCACTTAGTGTCAGCACTGCTGAGACCAGCAGATCCCTGCCAGCACCAGCCAGGCCCAGAGCTGCCCCAGCCTCCTGTGGCTCTGAGGGGTCCGTGGCTGGCTCTGAGGGGGGATTT